CCATCCTGTACATGGTACAGCTCATGTCATCATCACTTTGATCTACCCAAATATAATAAACCTAATTTGCTTAATTACTACTAAATATGATGACTACTAAAAAAGTAAAAGGCGCAACTTTAAACATTTTGCTACAGGTCAGACACTTTAACTTTTGCATTAATATGAATAACAGGGGCTTTTAATTTTAAACACAGAATTTAAGATGGAAATAACTGCAAAGGCAAACTGTGTAAAACAAACAAACAAAAAACCCCAAACATCATGGTGGTGACCAAAATGCTAATACAGAGGCTTCAAAATGCATCTTACTGTGTCTGGTTTTTTTTTATTTTTTATATACAGTCTATAATTAATAGATTGATACCTGCTAATGCGACTTTCAGTTGCTCCTTTATTCACGAAGCTGCACTTTTTTTACTGGCTTCATGTTCACGTTTGAACTTTGACTACATAAGTGTGAATCGGAGAACTTTTTGCTGCTGCGACAGAGGAATAACTCTGTCTCCTTCACTGACGTGACACCGCGGCCGACAGCTGCACTCGGTGGCACTATGCTGTGTGATTTAAAGAGCACTTCGCCCACTCTGTTGCTCTCTCACATTTCAAACAAAACACTCTCAGAAACATTTTGCCCCCTGCCTCGAGCCACTCATGAAGCTGATTGGCTTGTTGTGCACCTGTTTCTCTGAGCTCTCCCAGTGTTTGCAGAGCTGCTGTGGGTGTTAATGGAAACAAGTGTCAATCCTTAACTATCGCTGGCACGCTATTCTCTCCGGCGCTCATCTGCTGTTCTGACCTTTTATTTCGCTTCAGCCCATTAACTTTGTTTTTCACGTCATGAGCGATGAATAACAAGTTGCTTGATGCTGCTCTATGGTACGGTGGCAGCTCTAATTTCAAGCAAACGTGAAGCCATAAAGCTTTCACTGGAGCACAGTTTTAAACCGGCTACACACCACACCCATGCCTCCTGTGCCAAAGAAAGACTTTGTTAGCAGATTTTATGGATCACCCAGAGAGTCGAATTCTCTAAATATCTCGACAACCTTTAGACCTGGTAGAGTTAAGTATGTAAGGTGAATTTATGCGGTTATTCATGTTCCCCTGACTATTCCTGACATCACTGGATGTCAGGATCACTGGATCACTGTAAGGTTTGGTCCACATTCAGGGTAAACTGGAATCATAGAGTGTATATAAAAGATGAATTTAGCTCTATTAGCCATTAGTTAGTGATTGGAGGGTCTGACCAAAAACTCTGCATGCTCACACAATAGCCACTTGATAATCACAAGGTAAGCCCACAATTAAGCATACTATGTTTTATTAGCTATTTTGATCATAATTTATAAAACGATAAGACCTCAAATCGCTAAATAAAGACTAAAAATTCTGCAAGAAAGTGTTTAAAGAGCTCAGAGATCAAGTGTACAGTTGCCCTGAGAGGTCAAATGCAGTGCAACTTAAGAAAACACCAAGAAAATAGAAAAATGCTGCAAAAGTACACAAAACAAAGGAAGTGTTTTTGGGGGAGATGTGATGGAACAACTGTGGTAGATGTTAGGATTGCACTGGGACGTGCTTTAAAAAAAAAAAAAAGCTTATGGTCTATCTACTTTGTCTTCCTCGCACTTGTGGCCAATTTTGAAACAATTGCACCTGGATGGTTAAGATGCACAGAGACAGACTGGGGTTTGAACCAGGAACCCTCTTGCTCTGTTTGCTAACTGATATTGTTTATATACATGTCCACCTTTTATATACAGTCTGTGATTTTTGGTGACATTATAGCAGGATCAACATCAAGTTTTAAATTTGGGCACTACTTTATGTCAGTGTCATCAACATCAGTTCATTTACTTTTCACTGGAAAACATTCCCCTTGTGACAGGCTAAACCAGGATGGTGAACAGTACAGCCTCACAGCCCTGCGTGCATGGCTGTAGACACCTGGTGAAGCCTTTTCACTGGAAAAACTGAATTGCTTCTTTCTTCTTTCTCCGTCCACAGAAAGGAAGGAAGTGCTCTCGCACCCATAAGGCCCCAGAGCCACATCGTCTGTCATATGCTGGCTGTAGGAGCACTCGCCTCTATCGGCCCAACTACTGTGGAGTATGCCGGGACGGCCGCTGCTGCTCGCCACGTCGCACACGCACAGCTAACGTGACCTTTGCCTGCCCAGACGGCGAACGCTTCAGCAGGTCCGTGATGTTCATCCAGTCGTGCAAGTGCAGCGACGAGTGCAACCATCTCAACGAGGCCGTAATGCCCCCACAGCTGTGGCTCTATGGGGACACGCACAAATTCAATGACTAGCGGCGTTACCCTGCCAAACCTACATTCCTTCATAAAAACAGACATTAACTCCCCCATCTCACCCCCGCCCCAGCAGTACCCATTATAGAGTAGTTGTCCTTAGTGGATCCATGAGCGGAACACACACCGAAACATTTGAGGATGAATGCGGAAAAGAGGAATGTGTCTCGGACTGGGCGTACCTCACAATGTGGAAACCGCAAAAGTGACCAGGCCCTGCTTTAGTGTAGATAAAAAGCTGTTTCTGGCCTTGCCAGACTTTAAACTGTGAATAAATCTTTGGGTGTAAGCAGACCCCATGTTAGTGCCCAGCTTCAAAAGTTCCCTAGAACTGTTTTTGGGAACAGCTGAGAAACACAGACATGCATAAGTCTTTCGTGTGCTGAAGGATTCACGGTGTGGATTTGACAAACCTGCTGGAATCACGTCTGCGCACTCCAGTATATGACAACTGATAGACTAAGTGACAAAGAAGAATAGGATGGCGTTGGTAGAAGATGGAAGTTTGTCTCAGATGTTTTGACGGGAATGTGGTTTGGGTCATTTTATGGTATTTATTCTCTGGTATTTATTGTCGAGACAGACATGATGACACAGCAGCCTGCCACTGGGGAAGGTGGCGCTGCTATTCTCGGAGAATCGATGTGGCAGAACAACAATATCAGACGGACAATACTGCTGAGCCCCGAGAGAGGGTGAGGAACTGCCATCAAACCAGGACTTGACCCCGGGCTCAGATTTGGTCAGAAAGCCATATCTAATGATGAACAACAAATGATAAAGGAGGAGATGAGGTATATACAATGGATAAAGTTGGAGTTGAACTTGGTGGTTGGAGGCATTAGTGGGAAAACATGTCAAAGGTTGTTTACGCAGCTGGACTCATCCCCTCGCCTTGCCTTCACAAGAAACTGAGACATTTCGCGAGCATCCGAAGAACACGCTCGGGATTCTGTCGCCAACAAGTCGACCACCTAATTTGGCCAGGTACAATCCTGACTCGTGATGGCAGAAGGAGACAATCGTCCACTCTGGTTTGTTTTATAAATGAATTTTGGAAAGCTGCGTGTGCCACGGTAAATGTGTTATTTGTGATTTGAAGGTGGAACTGCTCTGTCGTCTAATCTGGCTCGTAACCGAGCAGCCTCTTCGTGTTAAAGTGCGTCCTGTTTCTGAGAAATGCTGTTGAAAAGCTGTTCAGTCGTTTCACACGGCTGTGAGAAGAGCTTTATGTAATTTTGTTTTCAGGGGGTTGAGGTCTACAGCTGCCAAATGTCAGCAGGAGCCTACCTCTAAGGACACTAACACTGTCAAGTCTATCTTCAGGTTGTACGTTACGGATGGCTTAGCCCTTTATTATGATTATCCACCCGACTTGGTGTTTGGGTTGACGTTTGAGCACCTTACAGCAACCTTGATTCACAGCCTAATCTGGTATCCACATACAGATGAGTTGAAATCACGAACTGCCTTTTTAAAAATTACTGTATACAGTGGTAACTTCGTCTCAGTGGATGCACCAATGTACTTTATCCGTTTGTGCCATAAATTACACATTTTTGCCCTGAGGTGAATGTTTCCCCCCCCCTACCATCTCAACTACAAAACATCTGCTGCCCCAAATCCTTATCAGGGGTTCTTTTTAAACTTAAATTTGCTAAGAAATGTCTTTTGTGTTTTCCATTGCTATTTTGCCCATGATGATGCTGTGGTTTTGATATTGTATCTTTAGATTTATTGAGGGAAACTATAGTGCAGCTATGTACAGACACATTGTTACCTTTGTAGTTCTATCTGCTGTATAAGGGCCAATCATTATACTGAAGTAGTCCATGTATAGTTTAGCACTGGACGAGGCAGGGTTCAGATCTTTTATGAGCATTAAGTGCCAATTTTGAAAGCTTGATGACTGTAGAACTAGTAGTGTACATTAATAAGTCTGTAATTTTCTGTAATGAGTCATGCTTAAGATCTTATGCTTAAAAAAAAAAGTGTTCCTTGTGATTAACTCTTCTTGGAATCTGGTTAGTTTACAGTTGACTTTAAGAGCTGGAATGAGTTCATCATCGTTTCGCTTTTTAAAAAATAAAATTCTCTCTGACAATCACTGTTGAACATTTATCAAAAGAGGATTTTTTTTGTCACGTAGGTTAAATTATACAGCAACTCTATGGTGTAGCGCTTAACACATCCCCCTAACATGCAGATAAATGCATCTGGTTTAAATTGAGTCAGATCAAACATGCAGATCCAGCTGCTGTGGCGGAGCAGCCAAAGATCTGCAATTTCACAGCTATGCTAGCAGCCCTGCAACGAGCCATACTATGTTAACATTTAGCAGGCATTTCATGTATTTACACATGTACACTACAGTCACTATTTGGTACTAAAGAAAAGTTACCTTAGTGGCAAGATAAATTGGTGTCTGCCCAACTGCACTTAAGATATCAACATCCAATATCGAGTTACTGTGCAGCAATAAAAATTGCAGAGAACCATCACTATGACTCTGCACAGTGATGTTTATCCAGTATTGAATTGTTGCTAAATCATCTAAGCAGATTTCCACTTGTTTAACACTTTGAATTTTTAATACTTAAAACAAAATACCAAGAAAAAAAAATACAGTTAAACAGTGACATGTTTTGCCCCGTCAAAATCTGCAAATTCATCACTACCAGTTCATGTGGTGACTTCATTTATTGGAGGATATTCAGTTAAAAATCCATAGAAAGAGCTGCCATATGAGCCAAATTTGTGTCTTTACAACTTTTTGATTACCAGCCAAACAGCCACTTTTTTTGTACTGGGAAGGAAAACAAAACATCTCCTATACAAATCTTGCTTGGACATAAAGAAAAAGCACAGACTCCTATCACATGTTCCTCTGAAAGTTTCCCTGAAGCTCTGTCGCTGCCGAGACTGAAACCAATGAAAACTGAGCAGAGACAGCATCCTCATAAGTGACCACAACAGTAAAATGACATTTTATAAAAAGTTTTAATTCCATTAAACAAAACAAAGACAAATTAAAACCAAACCCCCCTAAAAACTGACAATAAAAATAAACGTTTGGTGAACAGAGGAAAGGCAGAGCTTTCAAATCAATGGTGAAGTACGTCTACTTCCAAATACAAGACGAGATCCACGAAGAGCAGACTGCCGTTTGGCCGGGGACTCATCTGGACTGCTCGACTACAGAGGGGGAGAGAAGGAGAGACTAGTTGAGCACGCAAAACATCAGAACGATGAGCAACAGCTGAGCATACCGACGTTTCAGCAACAGGTTAAATATGTGAAGGATTTGAGGAGCGCTTCAGTTAACGTGACAGCACCAACTGTTGCGTCTTGTTGCCGAGTAAAGGTTTACTGCAATTTTCTGTGGGGAACGCTTCAGCATTAACGCAATGATTTAATAATAAAGTGCTGCAAAACTCTTTAATCCACAGATCACAGTGGTTCTAATGTTATTAAAGACATCAGTATGCTTTTAAGGAGGCATTCAGAAATAAGAAAAACCAAAAACACTTACTGTAAGATGAGATGTCAATCTCATCTGGCAGCTCGGCCACATTGACTTCAAAGCGGTCCTGCACATCGTTTAGAGTCTTGGCATCAGTCTCGTCTGACACAAAGGTTATAGCCAGACCTTTGGTCCCAAACCTACCAGCACGGGCAACCTGAGGGGCGCAGAGAAGGTAAGAGTAAGTCCAAACTGCAACATGGACTACCACTAGCATTCACACGGTGCTCGATGAGCAAATAAGACAGCCAACTTTCCTGCATATGAAAAAGGAGAGGGGCTCAGAAATGCATTTCTCACCCTGTGCAAATAGGTGTCAGAATCTTCTGGCATGTCGTAGTTGAAGACGATATTCACTCGCTCAATGTCCATCCCTCGGCCAAACAGGTTTGTGGCCACCAGGATCCGCCGCTGGAAGTCTTTGAATTGCTGATAGCGAGACAGCCTGAGAGAGGGTAAGAAGGGGAAGGAGGACAGAACCATCAGGAGGATTATCAACAAGCACTCTCTGAAGACTAATGCGTTGAGTTGAAGGATGAGGCCTCCTGCTCTCAAAAATACACAACACATTTGAAGCTCAGCAGAGCATGTTTACGAGTTGAGAGTTTATAAGTCACCTTTCCTCCTGAACCATTCCCCTGTGGATGGCAATGGCAGGGAAATTTTGCTCCACCAGTAGCTGGGACAGAGCGACGCAGCGCTGAACTGACTTGACGAAGATCACCACCTAGAGGCAACGCACGGGCATTAAGGAAGCACCGAGTTCGACCTCTGATGCAATTTTTATTACAGCTTTCAATGAGTATTTGGGACCTTTTGAATACAAACATTAGCTTGCAACAATATAAAGATGTATGTTCCCTCACCTGATTGAACTCCAACACATCAAGCAGGTCAAATAGCTTGCGGTTTTTCTCGCTGTCCTTCAGCTTGCAGTAGTACTGTTGCAGACCGTGGAGTGTAAGTTTGGTCTCGTCATCCACAAACACCTCCATGGGCTGTACATGAGATAGCAGGTAAGTAAAACTTCAGTGCAGCAGTTTTCAGTACAGACTGAAAGTGGTGGAGATGAGTTGTCTCACAAAAAACAACAGACATTCAGAGGTGAAGCAGCCCTCCGCTGCTTACTTACATCTTGCATGAACTTGCGGCACACTGGACGGATTTCCTTACTCAGTGTTGCACTGAACATCATGACCTGCTTCTCATGCGGTGTGATCCGGAAGATGTCCTGAACATCACGCCTCATGTCTGCCATGTGAAGAAAGAAAAAGAGTGAAAAAAGTGACTAAGGTAAGATTCTGACTGACTACTGCAGTTTTGCAGCTGACTTGGTGAAAACTGGGAAGACAAAAGCAAAGAAAAGTCACCTAGCTGCTCCAGCATTTTGTCACACTCGTCCAGGACAAAATGCTTGACGTTCTTCAGACTGAGCGTCTTGTTCCGGATCAGGGCGAGGATACGGCCGGGAGTTCCGACAACGATGTGAGGGCAGTTCTTCTTCAGGACGTCCTCGTCTTTCTTGATAGGCAGGCCACCAAAGAATACGGCTGCTTTTATGGTGGGCATGTACTTGGAGAAACGCTCGTACTCTTTGCTGATCTGGAAGGCCAGCTCTCGTGTGTGACACATGACTAATACAGACACCTGGAGACAAGGAAACACAGATTAAATCCAAAAATCTATCAAAAAGTCAAAGGTAGGCAGAATAATTTGTTTAAAATGAACAGTTTTACATTACAAACGACAAGATGCATTTAATGTTAATGTTACATTTTTAGTGTTTTATGATCATCTAAGCATCTGTCCTTGAAAGAAAATTACATCCCACTGTAGCTATAACACCTTAGACTTGAAGGTCTGCAACTCTATAAGCCAGAACTGAGCCATATATCAACTCTTTGGTGTATAATTTCCACATAAGCACAACATGAAAATGCCACTTACAATCAAATAGACTGATGCTATAATACACAACGAATGTCATCCATCCTCTCAAATCCCCAAATTCCACCAGGATCGGCTGCGCTGCATTTCAGCACTGACACGAACACTTAAGCCAATCGACCGTTATGCCCGATTTATGCTTTAGCAGGAAATCTACATATTAAACGGAAACCCCTCTTAACCGCAAGCGTAACATAGACAACCCAACATGTAGTAACATTTCTCTTGTCACGTTATGTGGAAGGTTTTGGTGCAACGTTAAGACGGGTTTCTGATTACGCCGTAGATTTCCTGCTAAAACATATTTTATTGTTGTCCTCAAAACTGCATATCCCAACAAAGAAACCTGCTGGTTATAAGTCACCTATGAAATCTGTTATTTGTATATTAATAAGGAATGTCATGATCCCAGAAATAACATCAGTTGGTACCAATACCAGTAGAATCACACAGCTGGATAGTGAAACAAAATGACTGGCTGGTGCCAGGTACTTAAACTGTTACTAAAACGTTTTAGAATTCTGATCATTTATTTAAATGTTGACATCATTTTACTGACAAGACCCAGACTGAGATGTTAGGATGGCTGCCGAGTAGCCCATTAGTGTTACTAGCAAGTGACTGTAACTCGTGTTAGTTACATTAAGTGAGCACAAACATTTCAAGGTTATTTTACAATGGGGAGTCTCAAACAAAATAAGCAGTAATCTGTGATTCTGGATAAGATTTGTAGGACAAAACTTTGGATGTCACTCTTAACTTATTCGTCCTCAACGTGCACTACATAAATAGCTCTGGATACCAGTCTTTCATGTGCCTTGCTAAATTGGAAGTCCAATTATTGTTTGCATATCGCCTCTTGCTAATCAATTATCTTAGATTTTGCAGCCACCTGAATGCAAAGTAGCTGCACAGCCGACTGCCTTCCTTAAAAAAAGAGACAGAACAGAAGTTTGTTGCAGTTGCACGACTTTCCATCTTCCACCTGTTCTTTGACAATAGAATACTTTAAACCACATCCTGCCTCCTTTAGTTTTGGAAGGATTTCTGCCTCCCTGCATAAGCTGACGACGAGCACTGCTGCATCTCATAAATCTTGGTATCAAAATGGTACCATGGGTATTGATTCTGTTGGCATTCCCTAGCTCTGACTAAGACTGATTTTGATCAGTCTTGTTTGTGCTCTCTCACAGGTGGCTCTGACTTCAGCCAAGTTAAAAACAAAAACAGGACAACAAAAACATTTGGACCTTTATCAGCCTTTATTGGCTTGTTCATTAATTACCAGACTAATAACATTCATTGCCGATAAATGAAAAGCTCAACATTGAAGGCACAGTCAAAGCATGTTAAACACACATACTAACCTGTCCGTCAACGGGTTCGATCTGTTGCAGGGTGGCCAACACAAACACAGCCGTCTTGCCCATACCAGATTTGGCTTGGCACAGGATGTCCATGCCCAGGATAGCTTGTGGGATGCATTCATGCTGCACTGTGTTTTTAAACAACACAACACAAATATTAATGTTAAGTGCAGTCTTATTATTACCTGCAAATCAATTTCTTTGAACTGCTATAAAGAGCACAAGAGGAGTGGCAGTCCTGCTGGGAGTGGTGCATTTTTTTTTAGACGCACAAAGCAAGTCAAGCTATTCAAAAATTCTTAATGTATGCAAGCAAGATAAGGTAAGCGCTGTTGAAGAACATGCAGACTTACAGCTTTTGACTGGTTCTACCAGTGTAGTGCAAGGGTATGCCATAAACAAACTCAATTTCCAGTTCCCCACTAGTCCCATTTAACAAAAGGTACCAGAACAGTTGAATGCGTCTCACCTTCAGATGGATGCTCAAAACCACAGTCAATGATGGCGCGGAGAAGCTCCGGCTTCAGAAGAAAATCCCTGAAACCAGAGCTGTGGATGGAAACATAGGAACCTTTCACCTCCTTCTTGCCTGCTGGGGTTGCACTCTCGGGGGCTCCTTGAGGCTCCTCATCCTCTTCATAATCAAGGAGCTCGTTGTCAACGTCATTCTCAGCCATTGTATTTGTCTGGAACAAAGAAAATACAGCTGAGTATTAATGATCACTGTCCTTCATCTGTGTCTGTAAGAGAGGGCTCCCTTTACTTAGATTATATGAAGCGAGGTTCTTATTCGAGCCCACTTGTTGCAGATATTTTAATACATTTAAAAAGTCTTATTTTATTCTACCATTACAAGGCGGGTTTGACTTTGTGCAACTATGAAAATCGTGGTTGGTTATAAACGTGACTCCAAACATTAGCTCTATTGTGTATAACTCGAACTGAATTTTAAAGAGTAAGCCTGTGGTTAAGAAATGCTAAGCAAGAAAACACGCAACAGAGCAGGCCTAAATATGAATAGTCTAGTGTTTTGTAGGCAGAAACTATTCTGTACGACCACGTACACTCAATATAACAAACAAGGTCAAAACCGTAACCGACGATGTCAAATTGACCAAACCGGTTAGCTTCTAAGCGCATACAACACTAGAAAGCCATTGTGTTGCATAACCATTGCTAACGTGGCAAGCTACTCTTCTACACGACAACAACTAATCCGCTACGACCAACTAAATATTCCCAACGGCATAAGAAGGCGATCTTTTCGTAATTGTAACGGGAGTGTTATATGGATGACAAAAAGGCGGCATATTTCGTGTAAATAAGGAAATCTAAGTGGCGATTGCTTTGCTAGGCTATCAAATGCTAGGCTACAAAACGCTAAGTAACACCGCCCCCTGAAACAAACAACGAAAGGTTATTTTTAGCGATAGCAAACACTACTGCAGCCCAAATTAAACAAATATAATTCACAAGCTTCTTTAGGTGAAACGAGACGCGGAAAGCCGCCCAAGCGGGACAATGAAGTAGTTCAAGGATTCCTACCGTTTCGGTGTTAGCTTCGACTGCCCCGATAGATCACAACCGCATGGAGAGGCCTCAGTTGGTTAATACCACCAACCGGAAGTTCCGCCTCGACTAAAGCGGGTCGATATCATTCGCCCGTTTATGCGACCTCTGTGAAAAGCAGCCTGTGATTGGACAAAAAGTGTGCCGCAGTCCGTCGCAGTTGAAAAAAGCGGGACACAGTTGGAGCTGCTCTCCGTAGGGGAGCTCGGGAGGGACACTCGAAATAAATTAATACAGTCACGTTTTGCCGCAATATAAGTATACAATTAACCGGGATGTGTTTGCGTATGATAATGCAGGCCTGTGACCTTAAATATAAAACAGCTTCCTGGAATTGATTCAGGCTGGATCAATTTTGTTAGTTTATTTTTGTTTCACAGAAATCGTTAAAATTGTATGAAATCTAGACGTTTAAGTCGCGCGAGGCAAAACTCCTCTCCAGGATGTGATGTTAACAGTGTGAAGAAATTCGGACTCCATCAATAAAAGTATATGTAACTGTAATTTCTATGTTTCCTTGCACAAGTCTAAATCAAGCTTTAATTCTGGAAACGTTAAACACTGAGAATTAAAAGTCTTTAGTGCCTTCTAGTGGTCAATGAACGCATTAGTGTTGTACAGCATAAATGTCGTTGAAGCATTATTAACGTTTACAACCTTTTATTAAAATCAGAATTACGAATAACAAACGGGGCGCCAAAGGCCGATAATACGGTAACTGTATTAATAACGAGAAGTATCAGTATTTCCAACTATCCAACATGGATACACTGGCATCAGGTCTCAGCTTTCATAATACTTTGAAGAATACTTTTATACAGGAAGCAATCAGGAAGTATCTGCAGATCTGCAGAAATCTTTACAAAAGAATACATTTTATTGCTCTGTCATCTATAAAATCTCACATTCTTTAATAGGAAAACTACAAATACAGAATGACAAGTAGTGTTATTTAAATATATTAATGGAGATGTCCACACTCATTCGATTTTAACTCACAATTTATGCGTTCATCACAGATGTTCTTATTCAAAAATATTCCAGAAATATTTTTCAATGCAATACAAAGCAGTCCATCTGTTAGTTCTGCATTTTCTAAAAACAAAATGGACAATAAGGGCAGATTGGTGAAGAATTTGCCTGATGCAGTAGTTGAAGAACAACCTTCTAAATTGTAAGAAACTCCATCAGTGCTTTTATTTTATTATGTCACCAGTCTGATAGCTGTTGTCCTTATATCTGTGATTCCAGAGCAGAAGAGAAGCTCCACTGTGTAGGAGAGAAGTAGGGAAAACTGTCAGACTCGGGCCTGGAATGCTCCTCTGTGTGCGCACCACCTGGGGTGTAAGAGCGGCTCAGGAAGTCTCTGACATGCGGTGGCAAAGAAAGAAAGAGCCAGTTTTCCACCAGGAGACCACCTCCATGCAGCCCTGAGCAGCAGCCCAGTTCAGCAGGCAGTTCTTCCAGATTGTTGCTGCGCAAGTCCAGCCTGCACAGTTGACTTAGAGCTGCAATCTCTCTGGGTAAGAAGCTAAGAGAGTTGTGAGACATATTCAGGGTGCGCAACTCCAAACAGCAATTGAAAAGCTCAGTGGGTAGCCTCTCCAACCTGTTCCCACTGAGGTCCAACTCTGTGAGCAGCTGCAGTGCCTTCACCTCAGCAGGGAGCTCCTCCAGCAGGTTACCGGCAAGCAGGAGCCTCCGAAGGCGTCGAAGAGTGAAGAGCGCTGGAGGAATGCTCTGGAGCTGGTTGTTTGACAGATCCAAGAGCTCGAGGCCTCTAAGCACACCCACGCTGGCCGGCAGTACCAAAACACGGTTGTAAGCAAGTCTAAGACAAGAGAGACGACGAAGGTGAGCCAGACTAAGCAGCTCCTCCAGAGTCATCAGGTTATTGTGCTGCAGGTCAAGCACCCGGAGGTTGGTCAGTGCTAACAGAGCAGAGGGTAAACGCTCCAGCTGGCAATCCTGCAGATGCAGCTCTGTCAGGTAAACCATCCGCTTCAGGCCCATCAGCACAAGCAGCCTCGTGCCCTCATTCTGGATCTCCAGTCTCACCAAGTTGCTTGCCACCTCACAGAGCTCACCGGGGATCCGCTGCAACATGCCTCGAATCACCAGCACACGTAGGTGTCGCAACTGGCGTAGGCTCCCCAGTGCCCAGCTACGGCCCACCCCACCGTCACTGGCTAAGCGACCAGAGAGGTGAAGCTCATGAAGGCCTCGCAAGGACAGGACCCAGCTGGGGATCTCTGATGCCTGAGTAAAGGTAAGCTGAAGGACTTCTAGACGTTCCTGGAGAAAGGCAAGCGCGCTGGGATCCACAGTTGCTGTGCAGTGGTAGAGGTGCAGCTCCCTGTAGTTGGAATGCCAGATAAAAGTCCAAGTTAGAGTCTAAAAAGAAGTGAATACTTTAAAAGAAATACTTTAAAAGACTACGCCCCTGCACTGTACAACTCACCTGAGTGAGGTCATGCTGGTCATGTGTGCAGTAAACCTGGTGTCTGCGATGAGCTCCAGTTTGAGGACCTGAAGCTGGCTGAGAGTGAAGAGGGCTGGAGGAAGGCGAGGCAGGGCCACCAGCTGCAGCCTGGAGCGGCCGTCTGCATCCACGCTGATCATGGCGTGCAGCTTCTCCTCCCCCCAGCGCCTCTCTAAGCTTTCCTCCAGCAGCCTGCTCTCACTGACAGGCGACAAAAACACAAAGAGACGCTGGACCAGCAGAGGGTCGTACTGGTCTAACATGTGTATAAGAAAGGCCAGGTCGTTCTTCAGATCAGGAAAATCTCTCAGGGAGCTCAGCTCTTTCAGTGAATGGAAGGAATATTGCTGCAGAGAGCTGAATTGAATCAAACACACCAAGGCAGAAGAAGAAGAAGAAAGAAAAAACAAAGAGAAACATCAAACAGGATATTTTGTAGCCAAAAACACAGCACTACATTTTTTACCCCTGTAACTAGTTTTCTGATATGCTCATCATCAGGAGCATCATTTATTTATTTATGCTTTTTACATTTAGACTAGTTTCTCTCCTCAAAGCCTGTTAAAGCCTGAAGTAGCACTCATACATACTCTAACTTTCTTTGGGCAAAACTATCCACTTTAAAAATATATATTCCTACCTTTTCTGCGATAAAAACACTGAAAAGTGCACCTTTAACATTTTTTATTCTAACCTGCTTAAAATCCAGGTGAGAGTGTAAAAATTAAGCAGACCATACAGGCCCAGTAAGGTCAGGTAGGCCGCCAGCAGTTTGCGGAGAAGTGAGGAGAGCACGTGGATACACTCGAAGGTGGCGTAGCCCACCAGGGCCCACTCCTCAGGGTGACAGGTGTGGTTGAAGGACAGGGAGCCGAGAAGAGGGACTGTGTAACTCATAATCAGTGTTACAATCAGGAGTTTGAAAACTGTCTGAGCCAAGTAGACCTGAAGAGGGAAAAATGGGCATCAAGACTAAACGATACATGGAATTAAAAAAAAATTAAGGTAGCAAAGAAGTTGATCTGTAAATCTAGCAGACCAGAGGATCTCTTACCTTACAAATGACAGCTGAGCTTTCACAGTGGGACCTAAACTTCCTGAGCCTTTCAAACAGCGCCCTCGCCTGTTCCCCATCACTTTTATCCAGACTGATTACCTGGCTGTGGCTGTCAGCCATTACTGATGGGCTGGAAGAAGGAAGTTGCTCCCGGGAGTCAAGAGATACACAAGACACAGTGGAGTTACAGGACAGTGTGGAGGGACAAGGGGATGGAGGGGTGGCAAATGCGCTGTCTATCCTCTTTAAAAGTGGGCTGTCTGTGCCCGAGTCTATGCTCGAGTGTCTTGTGTGGGTCACTGTCGGGGAAGTGGAAGTTCGGTGGTGTGGTTGTTGTGCTCGTCTTCCCTCCTCCACCATCTCCTGGATGCTCTCTTGGCGGGCGGCATGAGACAGGGCCTGAGATGTCCAGGGTGACTCACAGCACTTTGCCAAGATGGATAGGAACTGCTCTATGCGGGATGAGGTGTGGGGAAAGTGGAGCCAGAAGGAGCCACTGGCTACCAGGACGAGGGACTGAAGCAAGGCCATGTAAGGGAAGAAGCGGGAGGACAAAGGCAAAGCTTCATGGTAGCACACCTATAGAAACAGGCAAACAGCAATTGATTGTTTGACCACATGGGGGCAGCAGACATACACTGTGAAACATTAATAACAAAGGGTTACCTGTTAACAAAGGAAGAGGATTAGTATAAAAACTGAAATGGGTGCTAAAGTTATTCTTTTTAATTGAATTGATTTGAATGGGTAAAAGCTTAAAATACAGGATACACTGTAAGCCCAGTTCTGTGAGTAGACATACTCACTAGATACTAGACATACTGGTTCTGTGAGTAGACAGAACTAGTATATCTAGTTCTGTCTACTAGACATATTAGTAGACAGAACTACTAGTATGTCTAGTAGACATACTAGACATACGGTTTGCTGGTTTACTTCTATAGGTTGGCTATAGGGGTAAACCATGGTTCTATCTCCGAGGGTTAGTAAGGCTTAAATAAGCAACACCATGAGAGCTGTGAGTGAGCACTGAAACAGTCAAAGTGTGAATCAGAAGAAACTGGGAGATTAAAGTTCCACTGTGGAGCTGAGATAAGCGGTTTAATAACCTGTGGGTATGAGCAGGTCCTTTTACATAAAGGTTCAGAATGTTAAATATAGCTCATTCTATGCTTTCACAGAGTGAATAACAAAAACAACAAAGCCAGCACTACTTTACCTGGCTAATATAAATGTACTGCTGGTACACCAAGTGCGTGCGCCGACCCCGAGGTGCAGAGTGAAGATTTGGGCCGATTTTGTGTGCGTGGTGTATTTGAGGCTGTGACGATGGAGACAGTCCCACACTGGCACTTTTTGAGTGACTGTGATCACTAGTGTTTGTAGTTGAATCCAAAGGAATGCACACTACTCGGTCCCTGGACAGCTGCTCCGTACAAGCCAGGACAGATGTCATCAACATCAGGACCACCAGGTAGTCCATAAAGACCTCCCACCAGGGCTTCAGCAGTTTAGACCTGTTCTGATGCTGATTCAGAGGCGCTAGCTCTGACAGGGAAAACATGGCGTCCTCTGGGTCCTGCAAGATTTGCTTTAAAAATGAGAAAACTAAGAGAGAACTACAGCACTGACCAAATGTGGAAAGTTGTATTATAGGATCACATCATGAGCTAAACTGCAGAACTGAACTACAGTGAATTTTGTGAATATTTAACAGTCAATTTGATATAATACATAGAAAATCTTTTGAAATTTCAAATAGATGTATTCCAGAAAACTTTGAAATGCTGTTGCTAACTAAGAGTAAACGAATTATATATATATATAAAAGTTCACTTAAGTTCTACTTGGCAACAATGCAAATTGGATCATAACAGTCCTTGTTGTTTTATCCACAGCTCTTCACCTACCTGTGCAAATAACTTCTTCTCTTGCTGTTCTCTCTCTACTTGTGATCAACCCACAGCCGCATTACAGAAACTCCAAGCCGGCGCTGTCTGGTTTAGCAGTGAAAAACTTCTGAAACTTACAAAACAAACTCCTCCTGAGCTGACTGGCACAAGGCTATTCAAAAGTTGCCATGGCAGCAGAGGATGTGTGGCTGAGAAATTTAATTCAATGCTAGAAGCCTGCTCAAGACCCACTGGGGGTTTGCTTGCTCCCTTTAACTCCTTCAGAACTGAAGTAGACAAAAATGTGACACACACAAAAAAACAGTGGAAAAATGTTTCCACTGGACAAAGTGAAAATACTTCATATGCATAATGATGGGAACACTTTACCAGCTTTATACACTGTTGGAAAGTTCAATTGACAACACTTCACAATACAGCCTGGTGAAATCTGCCTCCATAAGTCACCAACAGTAGTTCCCAGTAGGCTCAGTAGAACAAGGTGATAACCAAGAAAAGCGGACAGAGTACTTATAGCTCCACTTTCTTCATTCTAATTTTGCAGTACTAGTAGGTATGCGGGCTGTATGATAAACTACCCTAAGCCTTACTTTTTACATTCTAACTACACATTATTTTAGGTGTCAGCTGTAATATATGTCAGTTATTGTGTTTGCAGCTTCATACTTAAAATCCTTATATGGATTAAAGCAAATAATGTCTAGTGCGTCAGATAAAAGAGGTATAAGGTTGCATAAAAACATAAACTACAGTAAAACAGTTAAGTGAGAGCATTGTCCAGCAGAGGTCGCTGAAGTTACGGTACCGCTCTGACTGCACTCAACTGTAGTCGCACACATTATCTGTGAATGCTCCTCTTGTGCCGCTCTCACCACTTAATTACAAAACCCGAGCTTCTGTAGTGAGACTTTAAAGGTCAAAGAACTTTGATGACCAAAGTTTTGAAACTGACTTGTGAGTATTTTTGTGTGTGTGTGTGTGTGCAAGAGAGGGTCATAATGTAAATTTCTGGTGTGTCATTTCCTTGATATTTTCAGGCCACTAAACAATCTGGAGCAAACACTCAAACTGAAAATGAACCACAAGATGAGCTACTCCACACAGCTGGTGTATGTGTGTAAGTGTGAAAACTGTGTGTGTGCGCGCGCGCGTGTGTCTGCATATGTGCATGCTTTTGAGTGTGGGGCCTGGTTTTACAGAGCAGAAACGAAAAGTGGTGTGGAAGATGCAGCAGTGGTGGCAAACATTATGTGTGAGCGAGAAATGCATTCACTCATGCCACAGAGAAAAATCTCAAGATAAATTCTGCAACTGTGACTGACGAGGACAGTTCTTCAGATAACATGCTCAGCTTCTCTACGTAAACATTCAAACCCACAATACCGCCCCAGATTGCTGAGCGTTTATTAAATCTAAAAGCTTTACATAGCTGAGAATTGCAGTGCAGTTTTACACCGACTGCATTAGATTTTCTTCTAAAGCTCTCTTTCTCTCTTTGCTTGTATGCATATGTGGGTGTTTGTGTACGCTTATGCTGACAATGGTTACATGAAGTGCTGTATTAGTACCCCTACTGTTTACTCATAACAATCAAAAAAGCTGAATTTGGAAGTCTGTATACTTCTCACCTTCAACCGTTGCCATCTTGGTTACATAGATGAATGGCAAAGACCGCTAATCGAAGAAACTTCTGGGATGAAGCAAAGTTAAAACATCTTCAAGAAACTTAAAGAAGTCCAGTCGCTTTTCTTTCTAAGCTCCTTAGACCTCTAATCTTTCCTCTTTCTACAAGTTTTAGACCAGTAGAAGAATAAATTATCATTGGTGTTATAACTATGGTCTCCACTAGTTAACAGTGCTAGATTGTTCTACCTTTTAGCTTTGCTCTTTTTGCCTTCATAGCACACAGTTTGCAAATGAATATATGGAATCCTATGAAAAATTAAGTACTGCTGTACTCCCCACCATTCAATAGGTTGTAGAACCACATTTAGCAAGTTTAACTTAAAATAATTAATCTCGCTGAGATTTGGGCTGTCTCTAACATTGTACTCTTCTTTACTGTGTTATGCACAGCTCTCTTGCGCAGCATTTCAGTTAGGCTGAAGTCTACAAACCGAGCTCAAATCATCAAGGCTCTACCACTGTGCTTTAAGAGTTGGTAGGAGGGGTTTGTGCTGGTATGCTGTTTGCTTGTGGTGGTGTGTATCACGGCCAAACATCTCTACTCTGGTCTGGTTTGTCCAAATCCAAGAAATGCAGGTACCCACCCCCAAGAGTCTGTCCATACTTATTTAAATGGGAGGGCTATCAGTATGTGCTAACTCACAGGAAGAAATTAATGCACTTCCATGAACATCAGTCTACACATTTAGGGTAAATGCTTGTGTATGTGTAGTGGCCAGCCTCAGCACAGCTAAATGTGATAAACAAAATAATATTTGAACAAAAGTCATTACACAGAGAGCTAATCAACTCAAGTCTTTGTATTTTTCTCTTGTTTTCAAAAGAGAGCACATTATGGTTTCCATGATCTCACTGCAAAATAAACGGAGGTTTTTCTATCTCTTTCGGGGAACGTGGCTACAAAATTAGAAAGCAGGGCTGTGGTGCGATGAACATTACAAGGGGCTGCTATCCTATAAACACCCTCGGTTTCAAAGTTGTGCTCTAAACCCTGCGGCTTCACACCTTTTCAACTGCAATATACACACACACTGTGACGCACTCACACACCCTTGCCCATAGGCAGGGATGTTTTGGGTGGGGTTGAGTTAGGTGACAGGATTCACACGACCATGTCATGAAAAAACATCACAAGTTTGCAACAAACCTCACACATCAAATGGCTAACATCTTTAATCACAAGCAAACAGCTCAGACACCTTTCACAATGATGGCGAGTTTATGGTAAATATTCTGTAACTCCGATGGAATTATTAAAATTAGTAGCTGACTTATGATCAGAAGCAAGGCCCTTTCTGTAAATGTTCAAGACTTTTTAAATAGACACAAAGAAAGTACACCCGCTGTTCAATCTGAACTTTATGTATCAGGATGCAATAAAAATAATTTAGCTCTTTAGCAAGTCTTAAAATCACATAAATACAACTTTTGATGAACCACAAAGCATGACATATTATACCGTGTCTTTGTTTATTTATCTAACAAACACTAAGAAAAAATGTAGGCGCACGTGTGAATAAATAAGCAAACCCTTAATTCTTTAATAGGAATTAGGAGGGCAAGAAACAGGCAGGTGCTACAAATCACTTGATTAACTGATCATCGCCAAGTGTGAGCACCTCTATAAAAGCTGACGCTTTGGTTGTTTGCTGGTCTGGAGCTTTCAGGTGTTTGTTAACACAAAAGCGAGGAGGAAAGACATCAGCAGTAACCCTAAATAAGCAACTGTTGCTGTCCATCAATCTAGGAAAGGTGGTATATGAGGTGTAAACAATTTGAAGTCCGTCATTCTACGTTCAGGACAGATGCCAGATCCCAGCAAAATCACCCCAACCCTGGCGTTTTGAGCCAGGCTGCCCACCATGATCGGTCAAAACAGCAATGCTAATGATGTATATGCAAAAAAAGAGAGAAATACAGTATTTAATCACATTATTTTCTCTTTAAAAATGCATTGCAAAGAATAATTGAACTCATTTTACTACTTTTTGTTCGTGGTACCATTGATGGTGTAGCTGAAGGGGAATTCTAGTTTCTTTTTCTCGCAGAAGGAAGGTAGGAGAGAGTTCATTGGGCAATCCAGTGTCAGTAATGAAAACAATGCTAGTTCCTGTATACTGTACTAGCAACTTGGTTTTGGCGTTCGGTGTATGCTCTGCCTGCTAGCATCTTGCACCCTGGTGTTATGTGCTGGACTGTCTCTGGAGCATCTTTGCACAGGGTGTGGCTGAGGTCTTGTCTTGTCTGGTGTGGTAGACCCCAACCTTGCTGGAGCTTCTGCTTTAAACTTGTTACTGCGCTGCCAGGATTAGTGCCTCTGTTCAGTCCAGGATTTCTCAGTATCAGCCACTTCCTCTATCTGCCGATGCATGTCGTGCAGGGGCCTGTCATTTCATGACAATTCCTCCTCTAGCTCCTCTTCTTTCTCAAATTTCTGCTGCCTGAGGTATTCACTAAGGGCATGATCAGTTTTGGCCATTTTCCTGATGTACTCATGGATGTTTGCTGTTTCGTCCTGGAAAGTGGTTCTGACACTCACTAGCCCTTCCTTCCACTCAGCAGTGGCTTCTGTCTCCTCCTTTGGTCAGCGTATTATCCCAGTGGGCTATCTGATGACTGGCAGGGTGTAGGTGGTGATTGCCCAGGTCTTGTTCTTCCCATTCAGCTGACTCCTCAGGACTTGCTTATGTGGTGTTGCAGCTTTCCTAGGTACATGTTGTTGTCCTCAGTGTTTGCAGTGCTGCCTTCTGTTAGTACAATCTCCTCAGTTCTGACTACCTTCCTTCTCTTTGTTGCCATCCGACTACACTTTCCCACCTTGAATGACATTCCAATGTTATTGCTATAGATCCTAGTGGTATGGATCAGGGAATCGATGTCTCATTCACTCCTGGCATACGGCTTGTTGTCATCCATGTAGAGGAGGTGACTGATGTTTGCTCCATTCAGCAGGTATCCATTGGTGGGGTCCAGGCCTGTGCAGAACATCAGCAGGGACAGCATCTCCTTGGTAATCCAGCACTCGATGGTCACTTGTGCTTTTGGCTTGAAGTTGGCCTCTAGTGTTGTCCGCCACATCCCCATCAAATTCCTGATGAAGGCTTTTAGGGTACTGTGGACAGTTCCAGGCATTCCAGGATCCATGGATCAATCCAGTTTAATGGACCATGAGGAGTGGCCATTAAAGCTGCCCCATAGCCTGTATGATTATATCGACAAAGAAAAAAAGTTAGTTTGAACTACGTCTAAGCCAGATTACCAGTATGTCATTTTACCAAACCAGCCCTGCATGTAAGGCTCAAAAAAAAGAAAAGAAAAAAAGAGCTACATCTCAGAGTCTACAGGCCTCAGTCAGCATTTTAAATGTTAAAGTTCATGACACCACGATTAGAAAAAGACTGA